TACAGCTGGATTATTTGGCACTTTTAATTTATTTACCTGTGTGCCTAATTGTGGAATACTGTGTGAGTGTGTGTGTGTGTGTGTGTGTGTGCATGTGTGTGTGCATGTGTGTGTGTGTGTGTGTGTGAGTGAGTGTATGTATGGTGTGGTCCAAAGTGTCTTTTAGAATCCTGTGGATCCATGGATTTTGAGTATAGCTGTTGTTTACTGAAACTCTGAAAGTAGACTTTCAGGAGAGCCACCCCCCAACCCAACCAAATCAAACAGAACCAAACAATCCTTAATAGACTGCTCAGCTAGCTCACTGATGTACTTAAAATGACAAGAAAAGGACAATGAATTTTCTAACGAAACAAAACCAAAAACCTTCCAGGGTGTGAGCTAATTGTTTTTGAAAACAGGATCTGATGTAGCCCAGGCTAGCCTAGAATTCACTGTGTATGGAAAGATGACTTCAGAACTCTAGGTCTTCTTTCCTCTGTCTCCGTGTGTGGGGATTACAAGCACATGCTGGGACACCTGACCTATGAAAGGGACTGTTAAGTAGAAAAGTTACAAATGTATCACACTTTAGAAACCTGTGATGGATCCCGCTGAGAAAGCTATCCTCAGCTATCATGATGTTAACACAAATGCCATTAACCTGAGGGGAGTGACTACTTTATCCTTTCCTCTGTATCTTCCTCAATCGAGCAGTCTTGATGTTCTTAGTAGAAATGATTGTTCCTTTTAAGATCAAGTAGCTTGGGTGTGACAGAGACACGCAGTGCTATTAAGGTAGGAAGTCCTGGTTCTAGACTAAGATTTGTATGTACAAATCTGAGTTAAAGTATAAACATGTTTTCATCACTAAACACAGGAGTAGTTATTATAGCAAACTCTTGAGAAACTATGGACATTAAATGCATTAATGTATAATTGTTAAAAGTCAGGAAACAAACACAGCGATAAAGTGCTTGGCTTGTTACTCTTAACATCTGGAACTTTGACCATGGGTTGGAGTGGCAGCCATGTTAACAATTCTTTTCATATTTGATTACAAATACGGTTGTAAATTATTACTTTCCCAGCCATTCAGCACTTGAACAGGTGTTTCTAATGTTCCCATGATTGCAACCTGGTGATGAGTGAATTTGTTTGTTTAGTCCTCTAATGTAGAGACCAATTGAATATCTGTTCCATGTTTTTTAACAATGTGTTCTGGCTGTACTTTTTAATGTCTCCACTTGGGGGTAGTGTTTCATTACACAGTGGAACACTTCTCCACTTAAATGCTGTATTTGTCAATTTAGTCTTGGAAGTGCTTGTGCTATTTTATTTTTAAAGAAGCATGAAAGGAAAGGGGAAGTAATATAGTTATAATTTAATTAAAATGTAAAATTAATTAAGAGTCACCAAAACTCTTGCCTGTCTCAAAATTTTGATTATTTTTAACTAGTTTTCTGTCATTTGAATAATTGCATGAAAACGAGCAATTAATAGATTTCAGATTTTGAAGACTCATCCCCCTTTCCATGTCTTGAGGGTAATGTAACCCTGTTTATTACTTGTGTCTTTATGAAGCGTTTTGATTTTCAGCAAGAGGGCAATATTACTCAATTAGGAAAATATCCCTGTATAAATATAGGAAAACTCATTTTTATAAAGAAGCCAAAAAGAGAAAAGGACTGAAAGCACATTTATTGGGGCTTTTTTATTGTGGCTAAGTGTCTTTTCCTCTGTCCTCCCTCTGTCTCCTTAGTCACCTCACTTCCATTAAACGGGATGCTTGTCTCCAGGAAAAGCAAACAAAATACCCTCTAATCAATACTGAAAAACTTAGTTGTAGTATGTAACCTCTCACCATTTAATTAGTAATTTTTTAGGTTTACACTCAAAATTATGTGGTAGCCCTACAAAAATGACCCACTTACAATGCAGTCTTCACCCCAAATACTTACCCTGGTCATCCTAATGTTGTTATTAACTATTTGGTAATGTCACATTGTGTACCCTGATCACACTCATTTCCCAGTGCTCCCAAGTCTCCCCCTCCATGACTTCCCCTCTCAGAGGGAGGAGGAAGAGGTAATGGGGGTGGGTGGGTGGGGTACTGTTTAATTAGTGTTGCCCATATAACTTACTGGAGCATGGTCAAACTCTCAGTGGCCCTTAAAGAAAATTGAGTCCTTCTCCACCCTGCCCCTGCCAGCAGTCATCAACTCCAAATATTTTTGTTTTCCTTTTCTTTCTTTCTTTCTTTCTTTCTTTTTTTTTTTTTGAGACAGGGTTTCTCTATGTAGCTCTGTAGACCAGGCTGGCCTTGAACTCACAGAGATCTGCCTGCCTCTGCCTCCAGAGTGCTGGAATTAAAGGCGTGTGCCACCACCGCCTGGCTCCAAGTATTTTTCTGAAATTCCGTTTTTCTAAGTTACTTGGCATTGACGTGTATGTTTCATTAATGTTTGCATGTTACTTTTGAATTACTGTCATCTGTCCGTAGAACTGGCTTGCTTTGGCTGACCTGTTTTCTTGTTTTTGCATCGCAGTGATTGACCTAGGAGGAGACTTCAAGGGAGTTGGTAAAGGCTCCTCAGCCGTGGATAAGTTTGTGGAAGAGATAAGACGGAGAGGCGGGAAAGCAGTGGCCAATTACAGGTGTAGACTATCCCAGTAACGGTGTGTGACAGGTGTAGACTATCCCAGTAACGGTGTGTGACAGGTGTAGACTATCCCAGTAACGGTGTGTGACAGGTGTAGACTATCCCAGTAACGGTGTGTGACAGGTGTAGACTATCCCAGTAACGGTGTGTGACAGGTGTAGACTATCCCAGTAACGGTGTGTGACAGGTGTAGACTATCCCAGTAACGGTGTGTGACAGGTGTAGACTATCCCAGTAACGGTGTGTGACAGGTGTGGATTGTCAGCTTTCCTTCCACTGATGAAATTGCTCACACTAGTCATCTCTGAGACACAACTCAGTGTTACACTGCAACTGTGAAATTAGATTTTACCTGTGTCTATCAAGCCTTTTGAGAACATGCTTTATATCTTATGTGAGAAGTTTCTTAAGTTTTGATGTAGGTCATTTCATTAACTGTTCTTACTGGCTTGTTTAAACTACAGATCTGACTGATCTCCACAGCATTCTTTTCAGAGTCCCACAGTGCCCTGTGCTGAGTGGTGGACAGCCCTGTGCTGTCTCAACTGCTACGTTCTGTTGTGTTCAAGCAAAAACTCAAGTGTTAAATTAGATACCAGTGTGACACAAAACTCCCTGCACGTGCAGCTTTCCTGTTCTGATTTGCTGTTCTAGTGGTGTTGGAGAGGACTTTGTAGAATAGATTTGCTTCTCAGGCTTGTGGCTCCTGACTTCTCTGGAACCAGGTTGTAGTAGCTTGACTTCATTTTGACAGCTTACAGGGAAGAAAGTAGGATTTGATCCATAGTATCTGAGGGAGTAATGAGATGCTAATGAGATGCTAATAAGATGCTTACTGCCCCCCATAGGTTGATTTAGGAAAAAATGTTTCAACTTTTCCTTTGAATTTTAGAGCCTTAAAACAGAGATGAGAACTCAGATTCCTTCCTTTTGCAGTTCTCATTTGTGTGGTCTGGATCAGTCAAGACAGCAGCCCCTCCAGGTTTTCTAAGTACTGAAGCTTTTCAGGGAATTAGAAGCTCAACAGCTATTGGAAGGGCTGGGTGGACGAGGCTCAGGAAGCTGCCAAAGACCACTAGAGGTGGTGCAGCCTTCAGGCTCGCCTGGATGAGTCCTCAGTCTTACCGGGAACTGCGTTTACAGTTGTCTAGACAGTGAACACTGGTGACCAAAAATCTGAACACCAAGAGCTCCACAGCCTAAAACCTGTTGAGTGCTAACATGATGTCAGCTGTAGAATGTTTCACAACTGACCTCACCTGACAGGGTGTAGTCACTTTTGAATAGGCCCAGTAGAGATTGTATGTGAACTTACCTTCCGGTGTGAGTGTACAGTGAATACACAGGACACATGAATAAATGTTTTGTGTAGAGTTGGGTTATAGCCTCAAGATAGGTCAGTGTGTATAGGCAAATCCTCCAAAATCTGAGAAAAAATGCTTGTGGTTTCCAGCATTTTATTTTGAAAAGTGGCTGCATATATAAGCCATTTTACACACACACATACACACACACACACACACACACACACACACACACACAGTGTTTTGTTGTATAGTTCAGCTTGGCCTGAGACTTGAGATACTCTTCCCCCCAAATTATGTGATTACCAGGGTGTGCTATAGCACCTGGCCTCAACCTGTATCTCTCACCAAGGACTCTATGGATGCCATAGAGAGGAGCGACAGTATTTCCTGGGTCCTCTGAAAGAGAATGCCATTATCCCTGGTCTCCGAGGAAGGAACTGATGGATTTCCAGAGGCAGTGGTGATGGAAAGTGACAGCAGGCAGAGTCCTGCCTTTGCAGTTACACCAGCTGAATATGCAAACCCATGATGTTTGCATTACTTTTTGTGTTTAATATTTCAAAGCTGGGTTTTTATTGAGATACCATGCAGTTGTATAATGTATATGCTTTTACAAATTAAATGTGTACCTCATTTCTCCCAAGTTTTCATTTGCCATTAAGGTGAAATGCCTGTGTAGTTATGTAAAGTTAAATATAAATTCAGTTAAACTAAGTATTTGCCTGCTATACTGGCCACACTTTTGAACACTCAGTAGCCACATATATTTATTGGTTGCTGTATTGTGCAATGGTGGATATAGGGCATTTTCAACTTCATAGGAAGTTTACAAATTTAATTAACATTCGACTACTTCATACCCCTTCCCTTTTCCATAAGCAGTTTCATTGGACAGTGTTGCTGTGGTTAGTTCTTGCCAAAATTTGTTATTCATTCCAGTCTACCCTTGTTGTACATTCGGGACTCTATGTTGATTGCTATGTGCCTGTTTTGATTTCAATTCTGTTTGGTGGTAGTATCGCTCTGAGCCACAGGAAGTGATTTGTGGGCAATGATTGACATTTTGTCCTCATTGCTCTTGTCAGATTCGGTTGAAGCAGGAGAGAAGCTTGTGAAGACAGCCCTGGATGCTTTCGGCAGAATAGGTGATGTTTTCTTGCATTCATGGTTCCTTTAAGTTCCATTTCTATTACAGCGGTAAAAACCACCAGGAAAAGCAACTTATGGGAGAAAAGGACTTATTTTGACTTGCAAATCTAGGCTATAGTCTGTCATTGTGGGGAAGTCATGACAGAAATGAAATACTAGTCACATTATCAGCAATCTGCAGCAGGGGCATGCATGTGTGCTTTATCGGTGATCTGCAGCAGGGGCATGCATGTGTGCTTTATCAGTGATCTGCAGCAGGGCCATGCATGTGGCTTTATCGGTGATCTGCAGCAGGGGCATGCATGTGTGCTTTATCAGTGATCTGCAGCAGGGGCATGCATGAGTGCTTTATCAGTGATCTGCAGCAGGGGCATGCATGTGTGCTTTATCGGTGATCTGCAGCAGGGGCATGCATGTGTGCTTTATCAGTGATCTGCAGCAGGGGCATGCATGTGTGCTATATCAGTGATCTGCAGCAGGGGCAGGCATGTGTGCTTTATCAGTGATCTGCAGCAGGTCATGCATGTGTGCTTTATCAGTGATCTGCAGCAGGGGCATGCATGTGTGCTTTATCAGTGATCTGCAGCAGGGGCATGCATGTGTGCTTTATCAGTGATCTGCAGCAGGGGAATGCATGTGTGCTTTATCAGTGATCTGCAGCAGGGCCATGCATGTGTGCTTTATCAGTGATCTGTAGTAGGGGCATGCATGTGTGCTTTATCAGTGATCTGCAGTAGGGGTATGCATGTGTGCTTTATCAGTGATCTGCAGCAGGGGCAGGCATGTGTGCTTTATCAGTGATCTGCAGTAGGGGCATGCATGTGTGCTTTATCAGTGATCTGCAGTAGGGCCATGCATGTGTGCTTTATCGGTGATCTGCAGCAGGGGCATGCATGTGTGCTTTATCAGTGATCTGCAGCAGGGGCATGCATGTGTGCTTTATCAGTGATCTGCAGCAGGGGCATGCATGTGTGCTTTATCAGTGATCTGCAGCAGGGGCATGCATGTGTGCTTTATCAGTGATCTGCAGCAGGTCATGCATGTGTGCTTTATCAGTGATCTGCAGCAGGGGCATGCATGTGTGCTTTATCAGTGATCTGCAGCAGGGGCATGCATGTGTGCTTTATCAGTGATCTGCAGCAGGGGCATGCATGTGTGCTTTATCAGTGATCTGCAGCAGGGGCAGGCATGTGTGCTTTATCAGTGATCTGTAGTAGGGGCATGCATGTGTGCTTTATCAGTGATCTGCAGTAGGGGTATGCATGTGTGCTTTATCAGTGATCTGCAGCAGGGGCAGGCATGTGTGCTTTATCAGTGATCTGCAGTAGGGGCATGCATGTGTGCTTTATCAGTGATCTGCAGTAGGGCCATGCATGTGTGCTTTATCAGTGATCTGCAGCAGGGGCATGCATGTGTGCTTTATCAGTGATCTGCAGCAGGGGCATGCATGTGTGCTTTATCAGTGATCTGCAGTAGGGCCATGCATGTGTGCTTTATCGGTGATCTGCAGCAGGGGCATGCATGTGTGCTTTATCAGTGATCTGCAGCAGGGGCATGCATGTGTGCTTTATCAGTGATCTGCAGCAGGGGCATGCATGTGTGCTATATCAGTGATCTGCAGCAGGGGCAGGCATGTGTGCTTTATCAGTGATCTGCAGCAGGTCATGCATGTGTGCTTTATCAGTGATCTGCAGCAGGGGCATGCATGTGTGCTTTATCAGTGATCTGCAGCAGGGGCATGCATGTGTGCTTTATCAGTGATCTGCAGCAGGGGCATGCATGTGTGCTTTATCAGTGATCTGCAGCAGGGCCATGCATGTGTGCTTTATCAGTGATCTGTAGTAGGGACATGCATGTGTGATTTATCAGTGATCTGCAGTAGGGGTATGCATGTGTGCTTTATCAGTGATCTGCAGCAGGGGCAGGCATGTGTGCTTTATCAGTGATCTGCAGTAGGGGCATGCATGTGTGCTTTATCAGTGATCTGCAGCAGGGGCATGCATGTGTGCTTTATCAGTGATCTGCAGCAGGGGCATGCATGTGTGCTTTATCAGTGATCTGCAGCAGGGCCATGCATGTGTGCTTTATCAGTGATCTGCAGCAGGGGCATGCATGTGTGCTTTATCAGTGATCTGCAGCAGGGCCATGCATGTGTGCTTTATCAGTGATCTGCAGCAGGGCCATGCATGTGTGCTTTATCAGTGATCTGTAGTAGGGGCATGCATGTGTGCTTTATCAGTGATCTGCAGTAGGGGTATGCATGTGTGCTTTATCAGTGATCTGCAGCAGGGGCAGGCATGTGTGCTTTATCAGTGATCTGCAGTAGGGCCATGCATGTGTGCTTTATCAGTGATCTGCAGCAGGGCCATGCATGTGTGCTTTATCAGCGATCTGCAGCAGGGGCATGCATGTGTGCTTGCTACTTGCATGCCTGTGCTCAGCTCCATTTCCCGTTCTCACACAGTGTAGAACACCCTGCCTAAGGAATGGTGCCACCTGTAGTGGCCTACATCTTCACGTATCAATTAGCTTTATTAAGATAATCCTCCACAGACATGCACATAGGCAAACTCAATATAGACAATCCTTCAGTGAGACTTTCTTCCAAGTGATTATAGGTTGGTTTAACAATAAAAGCTAACTATGACATGGCCTTAATGAAGCACTTTCTAATTTCCTAATATATTTTTGAGTTGACATTTGTTTAGTAAATGAATCTCTTGCTATTTAAATTTTTGGGTTTGTTTTATAATTCAAATATTTTATTTAACCTGTTTTACTTTATATTAGACTTGAGGTGATAATCTTAATAACATTCATATATGTGTATGTATATATATATCTTTAAAATTTTTTGCACCATAAATGATTAAAAATATTGTGAGCATAAGCTCTTTTCCCTTTTTAATTATAATTCAATTAAGTCTTTAATACATTTCTGAGATAAGTCAGTATTTTGGCAATAATGAACCTGGTGCATTCTTTTTAATAATTATGCTCATGTAGGTTTAAATGATCTGATGTCTTATAAATTTAGAAGAAGTATATGTGTCATAGTTAGGATTTCTATTGCTGTGATGAAACACCATGACCAAAAAGCAAGTTGGGGAGGAAAGGGTCAATTTGTCAGGACAGGAAGTCAAACATGACAGGAACCTGGAGGCAGGAACTGATGCAGAGGCATGGAGGGGTGCTGCTTCCTGGCTTGCTCCTCATAGATTACTTAGCTTGCTTTCTTGTAGAACCCAGGACCAATGGGCTGGGTACTCCCTCATCAATCATTAAGAAAATGCCTTATAGGCTTTCCTATAGCCAGATTTTAGGAGGCATTTTCTTAATTGGAGCTCCCTTACCTCAGATGACTTTAGCCCGTGTCAAGTTGACATAAAAGTACCCAGCTCAAAAGGCTCTTCCTTTTAGAAGTATACTCTTGGTCCTTCCTTTCTACATACTCCTCCTTCCTTCTACTAAAATGAATGGCTTGCCAGAGGGAACAAAACTGTCTGGACAGCTCGGCTTTTTGTCTTACACACTTCACACTTCTTGTTCTAGTTTAGTGCTATCTGACAGGGACAGAAACCACAGAGTGTGAAAGCAGAGGATGGGGACAGCCACAGGATTCCAGTGGTTGAAACTTTAAAAGCTTTACTTTCTTTGTACAGTGAGATTATGAAGACTGATCAAATAGGCAACTGGTTTCTGACTTCACTGGTCTTCTTCCTCTTCTTCTTCCTCTTTCTCCTCCTCCTCCTCATCCCCCTCCTCCCCCTCCTCCTTCCCTTCCTCCTCCTCTTTTTATTTTATTTAAATTAGAAACAAGCTTGCTTGACATGTCAATTCTAGCTCTTTCAACCTCCCCTCTTCCTCCCCCAACCCCTCCAACTCCACCAACTCCCCATCCCATCCCCTCTCTGCTCCCCAGGGAGAGTGAGACCCTCCATGGGGAATCTTCAAAGTCTGTCATATTATCCCTGGCAGGGCCTAGGCCCTCCCCTATGTGTTCAGGATGAGAGGGCATCCCTCCATGTGGAATTGGCTCCCAAAGTTCCTTTGTTTGCCAGGGCTAAATACTGGTCTACTATCCAAGGCCCCATAGATTGCTGAAGCCTCCTCACTGACACCCACATTCAGGGGGTCTGGGTCAGTCCCATGCTTGTGTCTCAGTCACCAGCCTGGGGTCCAAGGGCTCCCCCTTTTTCAAGTCAGCTGCCTCTGTGGGTTTTACCAGCCTGGTCTTGACTCCTTTGCTCATCACTCTTCCCTCTATGCAACTGGTGTCCAGCAGTTCACTTCAGTGTTTAGCTGTGGGTATCTGCCACTGCTTCCAACAGTCACTGAATGAAGGCTCTAGGATGACTTATTGGGGAAAGGCATTTAAGGTTTAGCCTCTCCACTATTGGTTAGTTTTCCAGCTGGTGTCATCCTTGTACATCTCTGAAAATCTCCCTAGTGCCAGATCTCTTCTCAAACCTACAGTGGCTCCTTGACTCAACTTTCCTGCTACCCCATGTCCTCCTCTCCTCTTCTCTTCTCCCACTCTCTTTCTCCAAGCTTGCTCTCCTCTCCTCTCACTCCATGTTCCCAATCCACTCAGGAGATTCCATCCCATTCCCATTCTCTTGGGTGTACCATGTATATCTCTATTAAGGTCCTCCCTGTTTCCCAGACTCTTTGACAGTGGGGTTGTAGGCTGGCAATCCCCTGCTCCATGTCTAAAACCCATGTATGAGTGAGTATATACCATGTTTGTCTTTTTGTGACTGGGTTACCTCACTCAGGATGGTTTCTTCTAGTGCCATACATTTGCCTGCGAATTTCAAGATTCTTTTTTGATTATGTATATATTGTCTGCCTGCATGTATCCATGCAGGCCAGAAGAGGGCACCAGATCTCATTGCAGATGGTTGTGAGCTATCATGTGGTTGCTGAGAATTGAACTTGGGTCCTCTGGGAGAGTAATCAGTGCTCTTCACCTCTGAGCCATCTCTCCAGCCCCCCTTCTTCTTTTTTTGTTTTGGATTTTTGTTTTTTGAGACAAGGTCTCATGTAGTACAGGCTCCTTTCAAACTTGCTGTGTGGCTGAGACTGGCTTTCACCTCTTGAATGTCCTGCCTTCACTTCTCAAGTGATTGGATTACAGGCCTGAATCCTGGTGCTTGCTTTCATGGCTTCTTGAATTTTTGATCTTTTGACCGTTGAGGAGCAAGGAGAGAACTGTTAACTTCCTGAGTGAATTTTGAAATTAAGTAAAAGATGGTTTATAGTTGATTCTGAGTCCTCAGAACACAAGGGTGTAGTTAGCTCTGTGAGCTACAAGGAGTTTTGTAGAAGCAAGGAAATTTAAATATTTACACCTGACAGGAAGATAAGGCATGGTGATTGTGTTTTTTGTAAGTTATTTGCTATTATGCTATAGATACAAAGTTTTGTTTTGACAGCATTCTTGTTGTATTTAGTTTTTCTGGGGGCTTTTAAAAACAGTTTTTAAAATAGATGTGAATTTTAAACAAGTGCAAATTAATATGTTTGCTTTCATTTATGTAACTTGGATCTTTTTTATATCATAGATGTTGTGGTCAACAATGCTGGGTGAGTTTTTTTATTTTCATTTTCAATAAAGTATACACCATTGTGTTTGTCACTATATATTTTCCTTTCCATGTTGACCATACGTATTGTCAATATTTTAGAATCCTGAGGGACCGTTCCTTCTCCAGGATAAGTGATGAAGACTGGGGTAAGCTGTTCTTCATGCTTCTGTGGAGTGTAACTGTCCATTTTGTCTTTTAATATTAATGCATTTATATAGTTAAGGAAATACCTCCTATTTCTTGTTAATATAAATAAACTTAGACTACTGACAATGATTTATATAGTTAGAAGTACCATATTTTTAAACATTTGTTAAAAAATAGTTCAGCCATTTGCAGAAGTTACTGAAAACAATTTTGTTTCTTGTAATGTTTCTCTTTTTCTCTCCCCAAGAGGTTTTCAGGTTGTTTCTTTTTTTAAGCAGTATTAACTATTTTTAATAGCTTTACCATGTTTTGTCTGGCTGTGTCCCCTCTGCACCTCCCACCACCATGAGTAGAGAGCAGGATTTGGAAGAGCCTGCACATATATATCTGAAGTTTCTAATAAGTAGAAAATATTTTTCGTTTTCCTTTCCTGTGTTGCAGAGGTTGAGTTTGTACAATGATGAAATCATGTTTGTGGTTTACTTTTCTTCTGTTCCCGTTTGGTTCTCATCAGCCATCACGAGTGAACAAACCAGTGACTGAGACAATGGCAGGCATAGCAGCTGAGCTGGGACAATCACATCCTTGCTAAGAGTTCATCTCTGGCCTTAGAACTTTTGGAAGAGGCATGGTGTCCTTGCAACCCAGAATTAAGCAAAGGAGAACTTTTAGTTCCCCTTTCCTTGGGAAGCTGAGAGAGAGAGAGAAGACTGGCTGGCAAGTGGGGCTTTTCCACCTAGCAGAAGGGATTCCACCCTATTTAGACCCCAGCCCATCACCCCCTTTTCTAGTCTTGGTTTTGCATTTACTGTCCCTTTCATCTAATATTTGTATTTAAATTTTGGGGGTTTCCAGAGTGAAACCAAATAGTTAAGAATGGTCAAAATGAGACAGCACTCAATCTAGAGTTGTTTCTCTAAAATTTCCCAAGTGGTCTATTCATGGAATTGAAGTCTTTGAAGGTAGACCCCTCTAACTCATTTGAAAATCTTGGCAAAAATAGAGATAGTAGTGAGTATCTTCTAAATATTCCCCAATGATGAGCAGTATGGTCTATATGTTTGGTTATTTTGAGTACAAGTTATATATGTAAAATTCATGGATATTGTTATTTAGATATTTGCTTTTAATGCATGTATATTAGCTTGTGAATTTCTGTCAGGTGGACAGGCATAGACATTTATATGCCAGAGACAATGCTGTGATATCACCCGCAGAAATGCCCCCTGCCTCCTGTGAGATAGGACCTCTCTTCTGTCTGGAGCTCATTAATTAGGCTAGACTTGCTGATTAGGCAGTTCCAGGGCCACCTCACCTTATCAGCACTGGGATTGCACACATTTACCACCAGACCCAACTTTTCCATACGGCTTCTGGGACTCCAGCTCAGGTAAAGCTTATGTGACAAGCCCTTTCACAGCTGAACTAAATTCCTACATGTGCTTATTGAAGGGAGGGTGACCGGAATTTGCTTTGGGTACGTTTGTGTTGCCTGGTACACATTCAAGCAGAGATATAAAAGACCGACTGAGGCATCTCCCTGCCCTCTCAGGTTATATTATTAAATTCTTATTTGAGTGGGCATTAATTAAGTATATCATTATGTTTAGATATATGTAAGGATTACAATAATTTTATAAATTGTAGGAAAAGCTCATAGTTATGGGTATGAATTGTTGATTGGTAGCATAATTGTAATGAAAGCCAGAGTGATTACTTGGGTATGACAATAGGTGGTTATGAATACAGGTTATAAAATGATATGTTGTGTAAGTTTGTATAAGTATATGTTTGTATAAGTTTATTCTAAAACATACCTAACATTTGACAAAATATATTATAAAAATAATTTGTGTTTTAGATATTATTCAGAGAATTCATTTGTGGGGCTCCTTCCAAGTGACTCGAGCAGCAAGGGATCATATGAAGAAACAGAAATATGGAAGGTAGAGTTGCCTGAAGTCCCCCGAGAGGATTGAAGATGTTTGCACCAAGTGCTCTTAAACAATGCTTGGTACTGGGTCAAGTACTCTTACACATGTTCAGGCCTCTAAGTGTCATTTAGTGCATGCTTACTGGGTTCGTATTTTCCTTTTTTTTAAATTTATTTTTCAGTTTAAATTTAGATAAGAAACAAGGTGGCTTCACAAGTCAGTTCCAGGTCCCTCTCCCTTTCCCTCCCCTCCTCCCGTGCCCTCACCCCAAGTCCTCCATTATCCCCTCATTTCCCCAGGGAGGGTGAGGCCCTCCATGGGGGTGTCCATAGTCTGTCATTTCATACAGGGCAGGGCCTAGACCCTCCCCCAAGAGTTCAGGGTGAGAGTGCACCTCACATTGTTGGATGGCAGTCCAAAGTCCGTGTGTATACTCGGGATGAGTACTAATCTACTGCCCAAGGCTCAATAGATTACCTTGGCCTCCTCACTGACACCCCCATTCAGGGGGCCTTGATCAGTCCCATGCTGGATTATCAGGCATCAGTCTGGGATTCAAGAGTTAACACTTGTTTCAGGCAGTGGTGGCACATGCCTTTAATTCCAGCACTCTGGAGGCAGAGGCAGGTGGATCTGGGTGAGTTCCAGGCTGGGCTGGACCAATAGCCTCCAAAACAATACAGAGAAACCCTGTCTCAGTAAAAACCAAAAAGAAAAAAAGAGTTAACCCTTGTCGTGTCAGCTGTTTCTGGTGTTAAACCAACCCAGTCTTAATCCTTCCTCTCTGTTACTGGCTGTCTTGAGTTTCAGCTCAGTGCTTAGCCATGGGAGTGTGCCTCTTCTTCCATCAGCCACTGAATGAAGTTTCTGTTTCCCAGACTCTCTGGCCATGGGACTGTAGGCTGGCACTCCCCAGATCTATGTCTAAAATTCATATATGAGAGAGTACATGCCATGTTTCTCTTTTTGTGACAGGGTTACCTCGCTCAGGATGGTTTCCTCTATTGTCATCCATTTGCCTGCAAATCTCAGGATTCCATTGTTTTTTTCTGCTGAATAGTACTCCATTGTGTAAATGTACCACATTTTCTCTATCCACTCTTCAGTTGAGGGACATCTAGGTTGCTTCCAAGTTGTGGCTATTACAAATAATGCTGCTATGAACATAGTGGAACAGACATCCTTGTTGTATGAATGGGCATCTTTTGGATATATGCCTAAGAGTGGAGTTGCTGGGTCTTGTGTTAGGTTTATTCCCATTGTTCTGAGGAATCTCCCAAAGGATTTCCAAAGTGGCTGAACAAGTTGGCACTCCCACCAGCAATGGAGGAGTGTTCGCCTTTCACCACATCCTCTCCAGCATAAATTGTCATTGGTGTTTTTGATTTTAGCCATTCTGACAGGAGTGACATGGCATCTCAGTGTTGTTTTGATTTGCATTTCCCAGATGGCTAAGGATGTTGAGCACTTTCTCAAGTGCCTCTCAGCCATTTTAGACTCCTCTATTGAAAATTCTGTTTAGTTCGGCAGCCCACTTTTTAATTGGATCCTTTGGTGTTTTGGAGACTTGCTTCTTGAGTTCTTTGTAAATTTTGGAGATCAACACTTTGTATGATGTGGGGTTAGTGTACATTTTTCCTATTCTGTGGGTTGCCTTTTTGTCTTGATGACTGTGTCCTTTGCCTAGAAAAGCTTCTCAGTTTCAGGAGGTCCCATTTAATAATTGTTGATCTCACTGTCTGTGGTAGTGGTGTTATGTTCAGGAAGCTTTCTCCTGTACCAATTCGGTCAAGGATACCACCCACTTACTCTTCTAAGAGGTTCAGTGTGGCTGGATTTATGTTGAGGTCTTTGATCCATTTGGACTTAAGTTTTGTGCATGGTGATAAACATGGATCATCTGCATTCTTCTACATGCCAGCCTCCAATTATGCCAGCACAATTTGTTCAAGATGCTTTCCTTATTCCATTGTATATTTTAGCTTCTTTGTCAAAGATCAGATGTTCATACATGTGCGTTAATATCAGGGTTTTCCATTTGATTCCATTGGTCTACCTGTCTATTTTTGTGCCAATACCAACCTGTTTTCAGGACTATAGCTCTATGATAGAGCTTGAAGTCAGGGATGGTGATGCCTCCGGATATTGCCTTGTTGAAGAGGCTAGGTTTGGCTATCCTGGTTCTTTTGTTTTTCCATATAAAGTTGATTATTGTTCTTTCAAGGTCAGTGAAGTATTGTGCTGAGATTTTAATGGGGATTGCATTGAATCTGTAGATTGCTTTTGGCAGGATTGCCATTTTTACTATGTTGATCCTACCTATCCAAGAGCATGGTAGATCTTTCCATTTTCTGAGGGCTTCTATAATTTCTTTCTTTAAAGTTTCAAAGTTCTTGCAATACAGGTCTTTCACTATTTGTTTAGCATTACCCCAAGGTATTTTATGTTGTTTGTGGCAATTGCAAAGGGTGATGTTTCTCTGATTTCTTTTTCAGGCCTTTTATCATCTGTATATATTAGGGCTACTGATTTTCTTGAGTTGATCTTGTAGCCTGCCACTTTGCTGAAAGTGCTAATCAGCTGTAAGAGTTCCCTGGTAGAGTTCTTTGGGTCATTTATGTAAACTATCATATCATCTGCAAACAGTGAATGTTTGTCCTCTTCTTTCCCAATTTGTATCCCCTTGATCACCTTTTGTTGTCCTATGGCAATGGCTAGAACTTCAAGTTTAATGTTGAAAAGCTATGGAGAGAGTGGACAGCCTTGTTTTGTTCCTGATTTTAGAGGAATTGTATTGAGTTTCTGACCATTTAATTTGATGTTGGCTGTTGGTTTAATGTATATATCTTTTATTATGTTAAAGTATGTTCCTGTTATCCCAGATCTTTCCAAGAACTTTTTCATGAAGGGGTGTTGGATTTTTCAAAGGCCTTTTCAGCATCTAGTGAGATGATCATGTGATTTTTGTTTTTCAGCTTGTTTATATGGTGGATTATTTTGATGGATTTTTGTATGTTGAACCATCCCTGCATCCCTGGGATAAAACCTACTTGATCGTGGTGAATGATTGTTTTGATGTGTTTGTGGATCTGATTTGCCAGTATTTTATTGAGTATTTTTGCATCAATATTCATGAGGGATATTGGTCTGAAGTTCTCTTTCTTAGTTGTGTCTTTGTGTGGCTTATGGATCAAGCCTCATAGAAAGAGTTTGGCAAAGACCCTTCTGCTTCTATTGCATGGAATACTTTGAGAAGTATTGGTATAAGCGATTCTTTGAATTTCTGGTAGAATTCTGCACTGAGGCCTTCTGGACCTGGGCTTTTTTTGGTTGGGAGGCTTTTGATTACTGCTTCTATATCCACAGGTGTTATAGGTCTATCTAAATTGCTTATCTGTTCTTGATTTAATTTTGGCAAGTGACAGCTATCCAGGAAGTTGTCCATCTCCTTTAAATTTTTGAATTTGTGGATTATAGGTTTTCAAAGTATGACCTGAGGATTCTCTGCATTTCCTCAGAGTCCATTGTTATGTGCCCCTTTTCATTTCTTATTTTGTTAATTTGCATGTTAACTCTCTGCTTTTTGGTAAGTTTGGACAAAGGTTTGTCTAACTCGTTGATTTTCTCAAAGAACCAACTCTTCCTTGCATTGATTCTTTGTATTGTTTTCGTAAGTTCTACTTTATTGATTTCAGCCCTCACTTTGATTATTTCCTGGTGTCTCATCCTCCTGGGGGAGTTTGCTCCTTTGTGTTCTAGAGCTTTCAGCTGTGCAGTTAATTCTCTAGTATAACTATTCCCCAGTTTCTTCATGTGGGCACTTAGTGCTATGAACTTCCCCCGTAGCACTGCTTTCAAAGTGTCCCATAGGTTTGGGTATGTTGTGTCTTCCTTTTCATTGAATTCTAGGAAGTCTTTAATTTCTTTTTATTTCTTCTTTGATGCGGGTATGGTGCAGCTGTGCATTATTCAATTTCCATGAGTTTGTAGGTTTCCTGCAATTTGTGTTGTTGTTGAATTCTAATTTTAAAGCATGGTGGTCTGATAAGATGCATGGAGTTATTCCAGTTATTTTGAAACTGCTGAGGTTGACAACAGCCAAGTATGTGGTCGATTTTTGAGAAGGTTCCATATGATGGTGAGAAGAGGGTATATTCTTTTTTATGTGGATGAAATGTTCTATAGATGTCTGTTAATCCCAGGTGGGTCATTCCTTCTATTAGCCCCTTTGCTTCTTTGTTGAGTTTCTGTCTGTTATTCCTGGCTAGTGGTGAGAGTGGTGTGTTGAAATCTCCCACTATAAGTTACTCTCAGGTAATGTCTGTCTTTGAGGATGAGGTGTGTTTCTTGTATGCAGCAAAAGGATGGGTTCTTGTTTTCTCTATCTATAGTGATTGAGAGCTTTGCTGTGTGATAGTAGTCTGGGCTGGCATCCATGGTCTCTTAGTGTTGGTAGAGTATCTATCCAGGGCCTTCTGGTTTTCAGAGTTTCCATGGAAAGTCAGGTGTAATTCTGATGGGTGTGCCTTTATATGTTACTTTTCCTTTTTCTTTAGCTGCTCTTAATATTCTTTCTTTATTGTGTATATTTGGGGTCTTGATTATTATGTGGCGATGTGACTTTTTTTGTGATCCACTATATTTGGTGTTCTGTAAGCTTCTTGTACCTTCCTTGGCATGTCTTTCTTAAGGTTGGGAAATTATTCTTCTGTGATTTTGTTGAAAATGTTTTCTGCCCCTTTGAGGTGGTTTTCTTCTCCTTCTTCTATACTTATTATTCTTAGGTTTGGTCTTTTCATGGTGTCCCATATTTCCTGGATGTTTTCTGTTAAGGACTTTTTGTGCTTAAGATTTTCTTTGGTTGAGACTGTGGTCAGGTGTGGTTGTGCTTGGGATGGTTAGGAACCTCTGAGAAGAGAAAGATTCTGAGCACTGGTTCCTAGGTCCCCCTCTAACATACAACCTTATAGAGTCCATGGAGCTTACGAGAAGGGGTGATGAGCTCCAGGACATGAGTGAGCCTTTGCTTCTTCTGCAGAACACTGACCAATGACACTCATGGTGGCTCTCACAGCGATAGTCCCCATTTGAGTTTTCTAAGAAGAAAGGAACACGGTTGCCCACATTGTGGATCAGAGGATGGACCTCCATGTGCTGTCTGTCACTGTCTGGTGGAGAGGAGGGCTCACAGCAATACCAGGAAGAAATTCAGTATCAAGAAAAGTAAGCTGATTCTTTCCCCTGGAAAGGTGACTCATCCGCCTGTCCCTGAGTGATAACGCCAAATGAGATGCGGAACCATGGTGGATGCAGCTCTGTGGAGAGCTGGGACGTGCTGTTTCAAGGTTCCTGAATACACCGCTTGGAGAAGAGTTCCAGAGTCCCGTCTTCCTTGCTGGTAGAGGAGGTTGCTGCAACTGGTGGCCATACAGGGAACAGCTGAGGACTCAGAACTTCTTGTGGTCAGGGCAGTGCACTGGTAAGTCCCCAGGTAAGAGGGGGATCCGAGTAAAGAGCGTGAAAATAACCACAACAAACGTGGGGTAAAGGGACCGCGACAAGAGCGGGATAAAAAAGGGACTGAGACAAGAGCAGTTGGTTTGCTCTTCTCTGTAGGTAAAGAGAGAGCGGGACAAATGGTTCTTGGAGCAGCAAACCAAAAGTACAAACATTATTAGTTTGGCTAGCAGGGAACTGAAAGGAAAAGCTTAAAAGAAACATTGTTAGTTTGGCTATGGGCGCTTCTCAGTCACACCCAATTTTTTGGCTCTGAATGAGCTGCTTCGTTCTAAGAATTTTAGAATTTTGGAAGGTAGGGAGAGATCTTGATTTTGCATGGGACCGTGGAACAATAGGGAAAATACACAGAAAGTCTGGATACTGTATGCTATTGTGTTTTTCAGTTTTTTGATTGTTCAGGAAGGAACAACTGCTAAAGTACACTTGATGATAAATGGTGCTGAATTAATTCAAATGCTCAGAGGTGATGTTAGGCCCGTCTGGAGACTAGTAAAGAGTTGCCTTGAGGATCAGAAGTGTAGTGAGGCAGTTAAAAACAGGAGAAATGCTTTAGAACAACTGCAAGAGGAGAGATCAGAGCAGGCAAACAGTGAAAAGGGAGGAAAACAGAAAAGAAAGATGTACCCAGCTCTAGAAGATCTAGAAGACTCAGAGTCTACAGACTCCGAGGAGGATGAGGAGGATGAGGAGGATGATGAGGTACTCCAAGCTCTTATAAAACAATTAGAGACGACCAAGATCAGAAAAAAGGAAAAGAAAAGGGAAAGCCTTTTTAATTGAATTTGCCAATGAGCAAGTTGCCGCTAATCAGGCTGCAGGAAATCAACATTGGCATAGGGATATGCTACTTGGACAAGGTAGATTTGCAAACATGCAGACAGGATATCCAGTACAGGTGTTTGAACACTTAAATCAGATAGCCATTAAGGCTTAAAAATCATTGCCAAATAAAGGAGAGATGAGTGGCAATCTTACCAAGATCTTGCAAGGCCCTATGGAACCTTTTTCAGACTTTGTAGCAAGGCTAGTGGAAGCTGCTGGAAGGATTTTTGGGGACCCAGATGCAGCCATGCCTCTTACTAAACAGCTAGTCTTTGAACAATATACCAAGGAATGCCGTCCTGTAGAAGCGCCTAGCAGTATGATTTTATTCAGAGAGAAAAGAGATTTTGGCATAACAACAGCCATAGTGACAGCCATCACCGTTGCTGCTGTGAGTGCCACTGTTTCCGCTGTGGCCTAGTCAGTCACGGTGCAGACTGCAAATGTTCAAAATAATCTCTCTGCCAATGTTGGTAATGCATTAGACCTCCAAGCTTCGCTTAATTCGCAGGTCAAAGGAGGTCTTATTAATCAGTGAACAGATTTAGTGCAGGAACAGATTGATAGCAGCTTGAATTCCTGGTTAAATTCTGCCATGGACCATCTAAAGGAATGGGCAGGCTTGGGGGCGCTCACAGGCCTTTTGGTACTGGTCTCCCTGGTTTGCCTATGGTGTATTTGCAAGATTAGAATCACACAAAAGCGTGATGCAGCCATGATCACCCAAGCCTTTATCGCCATAGAGGCAGGACAGTCCCCCCAGGCCTGGTTGGCCGCTATTAAGAACTGAGATTCCTCTCCAACCGGAGTGCAAGGCTAAGCACTGCACGAGGGTTTGCTTGTAAGCAGTTAAGCTACCCTCAGAAGACAAGCCCGATTGCATGAAGGTTGTACCCGAGATCCTTCCCCTGGGAAAATAGGTACGGGATGGGTCTGGGTCACCGCAGGCATAGAGTCTGTGGGTGTCACCAGCACATTATCCCAGGTCTGCACACCAGGGATTGGGCCTCTATCTTTACCCATTATGTATTTAATTAAAGAAGGGGGAACTGTGGAGAGCTGTGACGTGCTGCACCTTAAAGATGGCGCTGGCTCCCGCCTATCACCCTCCCAAAAGTGAACACTCTCGGAGTAAACAATTCCATATTTGGCCAAAGCTTGGGTCCACGGCTTGCTTCCGTGTATGTGGACCTATCTGCTATTGCTAAATAACGTGCTGGGGTTGGCTATGCCTAGGCCATATAAGCTGTGGGCTGGCTTTTCCCGAGGGAGAAGAAGACTGTTTCAAGGTTCCTGAATAAACCTCTTGGAGAAGAGTTCCTGAGCCCCGTCTTCCTTGCTGGTCGAGGCGGTTGCAACACAGCTCTTTGGAAAGAACCCAGAATTGAAGACACTTCCCAGGTTCTGTGCACAGAATGAAGCCTTGAATGGTAGATTTGGGTGATGCCTGGGAGGGGCAGTGTGTAAGGAAGTGGTACATTGCTTGATTTCAGGGCATATTGGTTGTTAAAATTCTGAGACATTCTCCTCTGTTAGAACATTGGTCCTTCCCACCACTCCAAAGGGAGGATAAGACATCCATGGAAGACCTGGCCTGTGGCATTTCCCTGCCCACATAGACCTTACTCTCAATGCATTTGGGCATGTAGACTTGCTCACAGTTGCCTGAGCCCCTGTTTCCCTTTTCTTTTCTACTGACAGAACATTTCATTCAGTGTCTGGTAAGAAACCAGGTCCCTCCTTATTCCACCATAACCAAGTGTCTATTTCCAGCTTACAGTGGCAGCAGGAAGAAACCGAAGGAGGACAAGGCATTGGTTTCACTTCTGCACAGGTGAGCCTTCTCCATTACTTGGGGCCACTTACTACTGGCCAGTTATGTGATCACCCCCCAACCAGGGCATAAGGTAATCAAGGGAATAAGGACCTCTGCATGGGTGGGATCTGGGTACAGTGCAGGAGTTTAAGTCAACAGGGTCTTATACAAAGCATAGTTTGGAACACAAAACTGATGAGCTTCCAGAGTCCTTCCCCTCTTAGCTTGCAAAACCTCCAGGCCCATATGCTCCTAGATGCATTTACATGTCCTGTCTCCTACAGCACCATTAGAGGCTTGTCAATACCATCAGCTATTGCCACCGTTTAGGACAAGATTCCACAGTTGAAGTGTCCAACCCTGAAGTTGCCAGAGCCAACCAGCCACCTTGGCAGGCCATAGAGGAATCTGTGGTCACAGATTTATCCATAGCAGAGTACTCTGAGCAGTTGCTGTCCAAAGATTCTAAAATCATGTCAACTGTCCAGGTGAATCCCTCAGCTTCTATTGAGTCACAGATGTCTGGGAGTGCCTCTCAACCACCAGAGACCTTGACACTAGGGAGATGCTGTTCACTACCACTGGTACCTTCCCACCTATCTCATCCTCCTGATCCTGTGGCATATGCTCCATCCGTGCCACATAGACAGATAGTGGCTCTTCAGTGTGACCGAAAAGCACTGGGGTCCCCACAGAGCATACCTCTGACAGGATTGCCATCTCCCATGCGAAACACATCAGGCATTAACCATGTAAAACTGTCTAACTTTATCCCACCAAAAATTAACCACAAAAACATTCCTGCCTTGATCATCCCAGGCCTTATCAACTCATGCAGGCCTACCTCCACCACTCAAGGCACTGACGACTCAAACAGGTCTTGTTCAACCACACTAGAACTTAGTAACACATGCAGACCTACCTACACCTCTACCAGTCTAGGAAACTCAGGCAAGCCTACCTCAAATATGCCAGGTCATGAGTACTCAAGTAGGCCCACCTGTGTCACTCCAGGCCTTAATACCTCAACGATGCCTACTGAAAGAACTCTAGGTATAGACCACACAAACACGCCTTCCTCAAACACATTAGACATTAACAACACATGCAGACCTACCTACACCCCTGCAGGTCTTAAAAACTGCAGGTCATGAGAGCTCAAACAGGCCTACCTCTAACATTCCAAGCCTTAAGAACACTAGCAGAACTACTTCTACAACTCCGGGCCTTGAAATTTCAAGTAGGCCTAACTCAATATCTGGCATCCTTGACCACTCAAGCAGGCCTACCTTAAGCAGTACAGGCCTTAACCACTCATGCAAGCCTACCTCAACAACATCAAGCCTTAACTACTCAAATAGGCCTATCTCAATTACCCATCCATTGACCACTCCAACAGGCCAGTCTCAGGCCCTACCTGGTCCAATATAGTTACCAAAACTGGTGCCAGTCCAACTCATCACATGGTAAGGCCTTGTAAGAACATCTTTCTGTCAGGCTTCAGAAGGCCTCCTTCTGGACAGGACCCACATATAGGCAGATACAGGCTGGGGAGCCAACATTCATTAACCCTGACATTCAGAGAATGCTGGATTTTCAGATTAGTAAGAGAGTAGAACTCAAAGTATGGAAAGGGAAAGGAAAAGAAAGGTCTGATTATATCTTGGGGTGCATGGGAAGTATGCTGAAGTCCTGGAGCCGCAAGCAGACCACTAGCACCTCAGGCCCCTTCTGGAGCCAAAACAGCAAATCTGAGCAGCTTTCAGGTCATCACCAATTCTACCAAGAGGTTTCTGGCAACCATATACAGGTCACAGATAGCCAGTTTTCCTGGGGTCTCCCCTACCTCCACAGTGGTTACACAGTGGCTACAGTCAATATGGCACGGTCTTCACTAGATCCCCCTGCCATCATCTTCAATGGACTCTGTCCTTACATACAAAAGAAAGTTAGTCTGACATATCTCAAGAGTTCATTTATCAAAAGACTTTGCTTTATCACTTAGGGAAATCCCAATATTTAACGACAAATATATCTGACTTCCAAGCACCAGTGACTAGAATCCAAATGCGGAACAGTGATCCAACCACAATACCAAATCTACCATGCAATTCACCTCCAGCTAGGAATAATGGGGCTTCTTACACTAATGCTTCAAGAAACAAACTTTATGCCCCACATGTTGTTCAAAACCTAGAAACTATATTTTGAAGAAACACCAAGAAAGTAGTAAAAATCTACCAGACAAGGTTAAAAAACTCACAGGAAGCATTTCTTCAACTCATTTCAATGAGGTGGACCTCCAAGGGCCAGGCTTCCCTTGCCCACCTCCCAAGGGAAATCATTGACCCTGAGCTCCAGGAGCACCTAGAACAACACTTAAAAAAGCAATTTTGTCAACTCCATGTCCAATGGCCCCACAAGAATCAAGAATTGCTACACCTGATAAAACCTCAGGAGGAACCACCTGAAATGGGTCAGGCAGAGGTGAATGATGGGACTGCATGTCCCTCAACACTGACAGATGAGAGCAGTCAACATCCACAGAGTGTCTCACCAAAGGTTCCAAAGACAGCCCAACTCCTGAGGGACCCATGCAAGGATCTAAACAACTGTTTAGGAAGCATATTGAATGATCTGGATAGGAGCCCAGAAGGTTCCCTGGGCAAAGTTGTAGAGAATATCTCTGATGCAGAGGTGGAAGCCAGCTACTTGAAACACCCAGGAGTTGACACACCAAGTTTTGCCCTGGTGGGACCAAGAAAGAAGCATCTAGAAGGCACACTGCATATCCATTCAAGCAGCAAGTGCAAGCACATCCACAACAGCAAGATGGCCATGGAAAGAACATCCTTTCACGATTTGAACAGTCACAAGAAAGATTCTCAGGGGCCTTCTTTCCTAAACCCCGGCACACAGAAGGTGCTAGAAACACATCTAACCAGATGTCCAGTGAAGCACCCGTGTAGCTTGGCCCTCAGAGGCCTCAAAACCATACCTGTTTTTAACAGAAACAAGGCTACCTCTGTGCCTTTTCAAATGCCTTCCAATGCCTCCTTGTCCTTTGGGGACTCTAGAGATAATTCCCTTCCCACAAATCCCAGTATCCTGGGAGAAGCTTTTCGCAAGCCACAGAAGAGACTGGAATGAAAGGAGATTCCCCTGTGAAATCCACAAAGAACCCTCCTTCTGCCCTCTATCTGGATCTCCTGAGAGCTATTCTAAACAGGGAAACTCTGTGCCTGCGGAGGCCCCTACAAGTATCCAGGAGGATAGTATGAAATCTGTGTCCACTGAAGAGAGCCTTGTAGGAAGAGCCTGGCACTGTAATACTATTCTTAAATCTTGCACAGGTAAGCCAGTGTCAACTCCAGGCCTAATCAGAGGTATGTGTCAGTCACCAAATAATGAGCATGTGTCATTAGGAAAGACAGACCAACTGTTGTCACTTATGAGCAACAGTGTGGCATCCCAGTCAACAAGTAATAGGAATACCAGGGAGCTGGAGAAGGCAGAGAACAAAGTGTCATGTGACTGGGCATTTACCACTGCAGCTCACAAGATGAGAATCTATCCAACAATAAACATCCTTGGGTTTTGAATCTCTGGAGACCACTGAGAGTCCATCCTCTTCCAGAACTATTAATAAGACACCAGAATACACAGGCCTGGGCATTCATCACTGCTCATCCCCTGGTGTTGTCCTACAGGACAGTGCCAATGGCCCATTGTTTCAAGATTGTGCCCCTGAGGTGGTTCTTGCTGCAGATATCCTGGCCTCCAGGGACTCCAAGTCCAGCTGCAAGGCAGTGTCCACTACAAGAACATCAACCTCCCATGACAGGTTCCCTTTTCTGTCAAGATAAGTGACGAACCCAAGATATCTAAACCACAGGAACCATGGACTAGCCACATCTTTGCTTCAAAAACCAAAAGAATGACTATAGAAGTTCCAGGCATGACTTCTATCATTCAGTGAAAAGGCCTGCCTAAGCCTCCAAGTCAGATAGTCATGAAACGAAGTTTGGGGATAAGATCAAATGCTTCATATTTTTAACCCTGAAGGGAAGTTCAATAAAAGTTAAGAAAAATTCACAACAGAAAGTCAAGGCCCCATCAGCCCCAACCCAAAGTCAAGGGTCAATGGGGAGCAGAGTATTCATGTCACATCCGGTCGCTGAAGCACAGAACCACATGATCTCGGCTGTATGGGTTCCAGTGGAGAAACACGGTGTCCACCTTCAATGTGTTCAGGCAAAGAATCTGCATGAACCATCTGAAGCTTCAGTGTGTAGGCATGTCTGCCATCATAGAATTATCCAATCAAAGAAACACTAGCTGTGTTCAACAAGTTATCCCCAAGGTGCACAGACAAGCATCCACAGACAAATGGATGCCCTATGGTTGTAACGGGTTTGAGATGTTGAGACACTGTGTGTCCCAAGCCGCTGTCTATCAGGGAATAAGGCAGATACCACGTGTCCCTGGGACCCCTATTCACTGTCCTAGGCACTGCCCCTGTAGAAGTGGACATTATTGAAAAGAAGTACTTTTCTAAATGTGAAGTAATTAAACTTTCAGTCATTCATTACTTTCTGTGTGTTTTGTCTACAATGCTAGGCCACAGGGAAATGGCTGCATCTGGTCTAACTCAGTACTGCTTCTGGAGGGGATAGGCTCATCAAAGAAGAGACGGTGGCAGTTGAAGTCTCACCATCTCCTGGCTCCATCATCGTAGCGACTGTTAATTATACTGTAATTATGGAAGCAGAAGTAAAGGTTTTGGGGTGTTGGCAGTTGTCAACCCTACAAGACACAAACAAGAAGTACTTAGGAGTGATGTGGACATAATAAATCAAAACAATAAGACCCATACAAGCCTTGAGGATTGGGGAGTGCTAAATTAACCCTGTCAGATACCACCCTTAGGGCCAGCTTTTAACCATTTCTTTCTCCTGATTTGCTCTAACATTAACTTTATGTAGCTATATACAGAGACTCACAAGAAGCAGCCCAATGTCACCAAGCAGGCACAGGAATTACATTTTTCAATGTAGGAGAACCATAACCCCTGGATATCCTCCCAAGAAAGAAAGGATCTGGGGACTTTCAGGACCCTCTATCAACTCAAAGTGGCTGCCACCCAGATGAGTTCTCCAGGCCTCCCAGCTCAGACTGGATGACAAAGCAGTGTCACCCTGTCATGTGTCAGCCTCCAATGCCAGAATGGTGGCCAGCATTGAACTGACAACTTTCATGAGTGTGGCAGCGAGAATGCTTGCTGAGGGTCTCATGATGCCTGGTCATTTGTACTTCCTTCTGGTCCACTCTATATGCAGCGCCCCTCTGCATGATTAGCCCAAGGAGGGAGGTAGAAAACAAAAAGGTTAGAGCCAAGCAGGAGGCAGCTTAACATGAGGATGCCCTAAACCTTTCCATGCATGTGTAACCCCTGCCCTCCTTGTTTAGACTGTGTACATCAAGGTCTGTGTCATTCACCTTGACTTCACCCCACGCACTTCAGCTTGGACTGGAGGAGCCTTTTAGCTTTAAAGGAGTTGAAGCAAATCCAAGGAATGAAGATCAGCTTCCTCACAGCAGGTTTAGTAATCTGCATGCTCTTACCTTCTCCATTCTAGAGCTAAACTGCTGGAAATTTCAGAATTTATGGATTCTGAATGTCACTTACAGCCTGGTGGTCTTTCAACACTCATGTCAATCTTACTGCCACGGGAAAGGACACATGAAAAGGGTTGAAGGGATACACTGTGGGCATGCTCACATCATTCTAGGCCTTCATCCCTTGCTTTCCCATGAGAACAGCACAGGCCTTCTCACAGGACTGTCTCATACCATCTCACAGGGCTGCCTCATGCAGTGAAAGGGACTTGTCCAAAGTCCCGGTGTTCTTTGGGTCCCTGGTCAGGCCAAAAGGTCCCCTTCCTGGGCCTCACTCAGCTTCCTCCCTGGTTTCCTTGCTCCAGTCTCTCTTCTCTTAGGAAACAAGCAGTGATAACTGCACACAAGAGCCGCCAATTCTCAAGGTACCCTGCACTACTGCTCACCAAATCCTGCCAGTATACAGCTCCAGTAGTTTCACTTATTCCCTGGCTGAAAACTTTCTTCCAGAAGGTACCACCAAAGTAAAGAATGTGGAGTTGGGGCCTTATCTAGCACACTTCGTGAGAGTCTACATATGAAACTCAGCATCTCTGTAGGAGTGGATATGGAACCCTCATTTCTCTCATGAGCTGGCCCTGTATCAATGACCACACACTCCATAGTTGTCTCAGAACCCAGAGTAAAGCCAGCAACATAAGGATGCATGTCTGGGTGCTATCATGTACCCAATGGACACATTTGGCTTCAGTAAGACTTGGGAGGGGGTCCTTGCTTCCTTAGTGGACAAGTGCTAGAGACAATGGCATCCACAGATCAGGCAGCAAGAGGAATGGGGATGATCTGTCAAGTATAGTGGATATTCCATGGACCTGGAGAACCTCACAGAGTCCTCTACAGTAATTCTCACTGATAGATTCCCAAAGAGATCTCCACAATAGTCCCAGTGAGAAACCATCTCAGAATTCCTGAAACTACTTCCAGAGTCATTCATGGATCAAAACATAAGAGCTGCAAATATCTCTGCAGAGACTTAAACAGATTACTCCACAGAAGGTGATTGCTACAGATTCCTTTGCAGAACTCCATGGAAAGAAACCCCCAAAATCCTTCCCAGAGATCCAAGTAGACACCTTCACAGATTTCCCCAATGAAGAAATCACACATACTTTCAATCCTGACAGAAATCCACATTGACATTATAGAGTTCCATAGATCTTCACAGATTCACACACACATGTACCCAGATGTCTGTAGACATTCGCAGAAAACCACTTAGTAGGAGACAGCAAGAAGTAATAAGATCTGTGCATGCCCTGAGAGCTATCCATAGGGATGCATTAAGTTCCTTCCAGGAGGATTGTCACTGACATCTACATTGTACAGTGACTGTGTTCCAGAAACATAAAAAAGCTATTTTGTTTTTAGTATGTGAGAGTTTGTGAGTGAGTTTTATATTTTTAAGTAGAAATAAGAAAAATATATGAGAGAAGTGATGTTTATTTTAACATGGTAAACATGGAATTCCCAGAAGACCTTTGAAATGTAAGTGTGTACCCACATCTCTTCCTTTTCAGCTCAATGGAAAAAGAGTATATGTAAGCACATTACAAACCATAATGAGGTAGATGCAATGTGCATTTCCAGCATGTAGGCTGTTCTGAGTTAATAGTGCCTGAATGACAGATAGCACTTACATTTGTGTGGAGTATAACATAACTTGAAATAATAGAGATGAAGTGAAAGATTAAGGTACCTGTGATCAAGCCCTAAGTAGCATCCTAAAAGTGTTATATTGTGTCTTCTACACAGAAGGCTTTGATGGGCACTTTAAGTACAAAATAGGTTAGGTTAGATGGATACAGTCAGAACGTTTTCCCAAGGTACACGAGTAACTATCTCAAGAAATCATAGAGAATTATTTTCTGTGGCTGCTTCTTCTAAGAATAACTAAGACGGGCTAGGTATCAGTTAGCACGAGTTTAATTTGTACTTATTTCATCTCTACACTACAGAGTAGTGCATAGGATAGATATCATTAACTGTAACTTACAGATAAAGATATTGAAGTTTTTAAAACCTTACTTACCGTCAGGGTTCATATAACTACTGGAGAAGTAGAAAGAATTTGAATCTTCTATCTCCAGGGTTTGGAGTTCCACCAGCCCCGCTACATGTCTTCATCACAGCTACGTAAGGGTTAGATTTTACACACGAGAAAACTATCTCAGGAGAATCAGCATTCTATCTTTCAGTGCAAATATACAACACTCCAGATAGTTTCATTATTTTTAAGAGAAACAGTTGGCCCTGAAAGTTCACAACATATGGATGTTTTGATGCTTTTCTTCCTAAGAAATAGAAACATAAGATCTGCTTAATTTTACTGAATTTTAAAGGTTTTTATCTTGCATTGACTTGACTTGTGTATAAAAGACTTTCAAGTTGCGTTCATCTTTTCCATCCCTGATGTTTTTGTATCCGTAGGAGCCTAATTGAATGTCTGAATTGTTATTTTCAACACAGTCAAACTCTTTTGAATGTTTTAAAGTCAATTGTAACCCTAGCCCTCAGAACAATATACATATTTGCATGTAATGTTTTAGTTTTCTGTCTTCTATTTTAACACAACTTTTTAGACCTACACATTTTTCCTTTGTGTTCTCATAGTAATAGTATTTCTTTAGTTATTGTTTGTGTATGAAATTTATAGAAACAGATGTTCTTTATGTATCTATTTGAAAACTATTTGAATGGAACGGTGTGGTGAGCAGCCAGCTGTCCCTGTAGGCATCCAGATAAAGGGTTATGTTACTAGGAAGTAATATAGTTGCTTTTTAATTCACCCCTTTGTAGGAGTGAATCCCACAATGCTACCCGCCAACAGGTAGAGATAAAAGGAAGTGAAAGGAAAAGGTGCTTCCCTTTTACCCTGGAAGCCAGCCAAGCTTCTAACTCCTGGTCTGTGAGACTCTCTCTCTCTCTCTGGTAAATAAACATATTGTTTTCCCTATATAGTATTGAATATCATTATACCCCTCTGATAACAACAAATAAGGATGCTGTAGCATCTGTGGATGCCTTAAGATTTCTTTGAGCCAGGGGAAAAACGTACATCTTCTCATCAGATTTGTATACCTTAGATTCCAGCTGTTTGACCTGGAGTCTTGCTAACCAGGCCCTTGTCACTGTTTCACAAGCTTACTGACCTCATTATAAACCTCAAGGGTTTGAGATGTTTGTTTGACCTGCCATGTTTCATAATGTCCGCCTAGATCAGTAAACAAAAGTTTCTATTTGTTAAATACAAATAAGAATTCTACCCATGAATAAAACCAAAAAGCATACAACTGGTAGGGCACTCTTGTTGAGAGAAAATGAACATGATTATGTAGATTTGGTTCATTCAGAGGAATATACATAATAATAATAATAATAATAATAATAGTAATAATACAATCAAGCAGGACACAGTTGAGAAGAGAAACTGTGATAAGTGTGAAAGACCATTGAACCAGCACCTCATTTTTATCTTCTCCCCATGTCTTCAGCATTTTATAAACTTCATAAATTTTTAACTGTGATTGATTGAAGGTGTCACATATATGTATATGAGTGTACAAAGTCATTTGTTGCCTTAACTTTCCATTGTAAGGACATACTGAATTATCAATTCATTTGAGTTCATTTAAGAAAAGGAATGTGATGTACATTGCCCAACTGAATTTAACAATTTAACCTTTTTTGCATGTTATTGTATTTCTAAATATGTCTCAATTTCAGACAAAAACTATAATTTAACTTTCCATATTCAGGGGAAGATAAAGTACTGTTAATGCTTTTATTTTAAAACCCCAATGTAGAGGTTTTAAAAAACTTGAATGGGAAATAAAAGCCTTCAAATGACAATTAAGCACTTACAATGAAGCACACATTCCTCAGTATGTCCTAGACCATGTCCTTCTCTCTGGG